AAGAAAGATGCCTTACAATGCTTTGGGCTAACATCCAGGAAATCTCCCGAGTTTTCAGGGGGATGTGTGATAGGAAAAGTTGAAGAGCAGGGGACATCTAGAGGTGTGAGAGGAACAGGTGAAAAAATAGACTAAAGTAGGTAGGGAAGGACAGGAGGAGGAGAAAAATTCTAATTGAATGATCACAACGTATAGAAAGAGGTACAAGGTATGAAGCAGAGCATGAAATACCTTACACTTAAACTACTATGTTTGCAAGAGTATGTAAACCAAAATTAAAAAGAAACCTCATCTTTGACAAAGAGTGGTGGTGGGTTGAAGACTAGAAAAGATACATCTCTGTGTCAGAAGTCTCAGATGCATGCCAAAGGATGAGATGAGAAGACACGAGTTGCTCCGTCTGCTTAAACAGTGTTTAGACTATAGTGATACTGCATTAAACTAGCCTAAATAAACCAGAACCTTAAACTCTACCTATATACAAGTGACACTTAAATCATAGTTTTAATCTTCAGTTTAAATGTTGTAAAATTTTTACAAACTGAGCTGGAGCATGTACAGTAGAAGAAGATAGGGAGCACTTCAGCAGACTGGGTATTCACATATTCATGGAGGCAGATGGGATGCCTCCAAAGGTGCTGAGGTAGTTGACTGATGTCACTGTGAGGCTTCTCTCTCATTTTGGAGAGGTCATAGTGATTGGGGAAGTTTTATGGTGACTGGAAGAGGGCGAACAGTATGCCCAGTGTCAAGAAGGACAAGAAGGGAGCACCTGGGGAATTACAGGCTGGCCTGCCTGACCTTGGTCTTCAGGAAGACTATGGAGAAAATCCTCCTGGAAGCCATTTCCAAGCAAATAAAGGACAAAGATGTGGTTAGGAACAGCTGAAATGGATTTGCCAAGTGTGAACAGTGCGTGACTGATTCCCCTTGTTTACAGAATCAGTTATCACAAAAGGCAGAGTAGTGGATGTTGTTCATCTTGGCTTTAGCAAGGCTCTCTGTACGGTTTCTACAGTGTCCTTTCTGCCAAACTGGTGAGATCTGGTTTGGATAGCTGGATGGAAAGTTGACTGGGCTGCCAGACACAAAGGTTTTTGATCAGCAGTACAAAATCCACCTGGCAGCTGGTAGCATAGTGGCATTTCTCAGAGGTCAATGCTAGGGCTGATGCTATTTTATGCCTCACTGACAGATGGGGACAACTGGACAGAACACACTGTCAGCTAGTTTGTGGGCAACATCTGACTGGGAGGAGTAGCCAGTAGGCTGGAAGGCAGGGCTGCTCTTCAGATGGACCTCCCCGTGCTAGAGAAGCGGGCTGACAGGAACCCTGTAAGATTCAAAGGCAAATGGAGAGTCCCTCCCGGGCGTGGGGAGACTGGAGCCCTGCGGCAGCCCAGGCGGGAAGCGGGCTGCCTGGAAAGCGGTTGTGCAGGAAAGGCCCTGGGGCCCGGGCAGGCAGCAAGCTGAGCGTGGGCCAGCAGTGTGCTCTTGTGGTGAAAGACATCAACTGCATACCGAGTCCTATCAGCAAAACTGTAGGCAGCAGGCCAAGAGAAGGGAGTTGCTTCTTTTTGGTATTTGTGAGACTGCATCTGGAGTACTGTGTTCAGTTTTGAGCTCCCCAGTACAAGGAAGACACTGCTATACTGGAGCAAGCTGGCTGGCTGTCCATCAAAAAAATGAAGGAGCCGAATGCAAGATGTAAGCAGAAAACTGGTACTGAAACCAGAAAAATGGTTTCTTCAGCCGAAAGAAGAGAAAGATTATGGGAGATCGTCTTGCTGTCTTCAATTAACTGACAGGCGGCTGTAGAGGGGACAGAGCCAGGCTCCTCTCATAGGTGCAGTGAAAGAATGAGAAGCAACAAATACTGGCTGGAGCACGAGAAATTCCTGCCTGATGGAAGGAAAAAAATCTTTGCATTAAGGGTGATGGAACCCTGGAGGAGCAGGAGGCTGAACTAGAGAGCTCCTGGGGTCCCTTTTAGCTTGAGTTACTTTGTATTGGCAGGTTTGACGAGAAATGATGGGGTATTAATACAGCATTGCAGAGAACATCAAGGATCATTGACTCATGGGTCATTGCCGGTAATGCAAGCAACTATGGCATAAACTTATTTTCTCCGTTTTTAAATTAGTCAGGCTGATTGTCTTGGATCACTGTTTTAGAGTCTCACTTCTGTGTTGCTTACGAACTGTTTAATTTTTTGTTACAAAACGTCCTAGTTACCTTCTGGTGTGGGTTTTTTTTTTCCCCTGTTTCCAGTATATGATGGTTTGTTCTTCAGCGTAAAAAGTCCTTTCTCTCTCTAGTTTTCACTTTGCTGGTGGGTTTTAAAGTTGTGCTTGTTGCATAATGGGTTTTTCTTAAGCTGTTTAATTCAGCCTGCAGGTTTGAGTGGGAAGAGAAATGCGTGTTACATCATTTAGTGCGAGCTAATTTTCTTAAGGTTTTCTATTTCTCAGAAGTTGCATGTTTTCAGGGGTGTTAGAATTAGAAATATATATAAAACAACTGCTTCTTTACCTGTGCACACTGAGAATACAGAGCTTTTTGTGTAGAAATTTTTTGCAATGCGATTATTTTCCTATGCGTGCATCTTACATGTTGCAAACATACATTCATCTACTATTTCTATGTCTGCAGTAATTAAATGACGATTAGCACCATCTCTGAGAGCTTGGCTTTAATTTAACACAGTGTATCTTCACAGTTGGAGAGGTTCTAATTGAAACTTCAGGTCATTTCTTCTTGATGAAAGAGGTTTTGATAGCCAGGATTTAAAACAAAGAGCCAGGCTTTATCTGCAGCTGGCTGCTTGTGTTACCTTATGTGTCTTTCTAGTAAATGTTCCCTGGAAAAACAAAACTGTTTGTTTTCCTCTGTGCTTTTGGGTCATCCCACCAAATTTACAGTCCTGTTATCTCAATTGTTATAATTTGGGAAATGCTGCTATATAGAGATAATTTTTTCGTAGGAGGTGAACGGGGGTTTCTGCTGGTGAAAGGTGCTGTCTCTCAAGTATCTATATTTGTATGGTCCTTAACACAGCGAGGCTCTGATTCATGATTATAGCTTTTACATCATGTTAGGTCTGAGACAGCTGGGTCATAGCTAACATTTTCTTTTTGCTAGATTTAATTTTATTGAATTGGGTACTTTAAAGTCTACTAAGGTAAACCCTGATTAAAAAACAACTTTTTTTTTTTTTTAAATCAGATGTCAACCTGAAGTGGCAACTTTATTATTAGACTCGAAGAATTTTTGTAAGATGAAACTTTGCTAGCAGTTCATCATATTTAATTTTTGCAGCCTCCTTGGCCTGTCAATGAAAAGAGCAACATATCTGGAGGCTACTTTCTGGAGAAAGCTCTGAAGAGCCGTTTCCTGAGCATGCCTTCCTGAAATACAAGTATCTAACATATACTTAAGTTAATGTACCCTGCATTTTGTGAGTAATACAAAATCGATGTAACTGTATAAATGTGTGAATAAAATTTTCATTCCGAAATAGGCAGACTTCCAAGATTTTGTATGGAAACATCTTTGTTACCAGCCTACATACAGTCCACAGCTTTTGAGCTACCACATTAACAGCTTTTGAGATTTTACTGACTTATTACATAGCTAACAACCACATGGCTTCTGCAGTGCCAAGGACAAATCACTTGTACACTTTTGAATCTGTTATGCCAAAAAAAGAGGATCTCAGCAGGCCAAGGGAGTAGTTCTCTTCTGCTTGAGGCACTATATATTTTCAACTAAATGCTGCGCTAATGCAGGCAGACTCTGGGTTCGAGCCACCACGCATCCTTCAGAGAAGCAGTGTGTGAGTGCTGGAAAATGCTGCCATTTTCTGATTGTTTCTTTGCTTCTCCTCTCTCCTGAAAATTGCAGAGGTGTGTTTAACTGTGCCCAGTGGCATTTTTGGAAGGATTACTGGTAAACCTGGTGCGGTCTCTCCATCATCACTAAGGATTTTGCTGTCGGCCATGTGAATGGCCGTTGCTGAGCCGCTGGGTGGCATCACTGCATCATTTTGGGGTTCATGGGTGATTTACTCTTCAGGAACATCAGAAAGATGCCAGCTGCCCAAACAAGAAAAATAAGCAAAAGAGCTCACTTGATAATTTAGGAACAAAAACATTAGCTGTGTCCATTGTAGTTTTTCTCTTGTGCTTTATATTAATTTAAGTAATGCTCGCTTGTATCTTTGATGTTAGTACTTTGTACTGTTCCATTCATGCAAAACTGATAACACTGATTAAATCAAATACAGAATATGCTCACCCATGCACATAAACAATGCCAGTATTGACACTGGAAAAAATAGCATGATTCCGTTGCTGAACATTGCCATAATATTTACCCTACAAAGAGAAACCTTTATCAGACTTCAGATGAAAAGAGACAAAGATGCAGTTGGAAGGCTGTACTAATCCTTTTGCTTTCTAGTGGACTGGGGATAGTATTCTCAACATATATTTCAACAGAATCCATCTGTCTGTGTTTTTCAACATATATCATCTCAGTACTCCTATGAGGTTATCATATCAGTCCTGCTGTTAGGAGAACTAAGATACAGAAGGGCTAATGTGATTTGCACAAGGATGCTTGGGAGGTCTTTATGCAGAGAATTGAGTCTAGATATCCTGACTTGTATCTTTATGTGGACCACAAAAAAAAAAAAAAAAAAAAAAAAAAAAAAAAAAAAGAAGAATTTGGGGTTTATATTGATTTTGCTTATTGTGTGATCACCCCTATGAATTAACAGTACTCCTGAAGCTCCTTCAAGGGTCACATGTTTTTTCAAAGGTGGAGTTTCGGTTTGAGAGTAATCCTGTTCTTGGGGGGGTGGTGGGTGGGGGTGGGTGCGGGAAGTATTTTACAAGATAGTTGGGTTTTTCTGTCCCTTTCTTTCCCCAACCTTGCTTTTAATTTAAGTTCCCTTTAAAAACTGTCTGTGTGGTCTTTTTTTATCTTATGTTTTCCAGAACAGTTTAATTGGGATGATTATCTGAAAGAGACTGAATCAGTAGCTGCCCCTCTACATTGTTTCAGACAGGTATGCCAGATGCTATTTTGCAAGTATGTGTATGTATGCATGTTACAGGGTGATCCTAGGGTAACTTTTATGTTTGACGGCTTGCAAACTTCCCATTTGACTTCTTTTGATCTCTAGTTATCAGTAGCTTACAGTTTTGGCAGATGCTAGCTACTGAAGTTTTTCGTTCTTGGTTTCTGCCTCAAGCCAAACTTTGAGGGTTTCATTAAAATTGTAGCTTTGGACTCTGTTTTCCTTTAAAAAAGAAGAGTAGTTAATGAAAACAGAGTGTCTTATCAGAGACACTAATTTTTTCAGGAATCTTGGAGATACCATGGTTTTAGTGAGAACTAAAATTTGGCTGTTCCTCAGAGCAGCCTTTCTCCTGCCACATTTCTGAAAAAGTCCTTTCAATTCCGGCTAGCTACAAGATGTGTGTGTGTGTGTAGTAGAGTTTATTTGCCAATTCTTTTCTGGATCTCTTAAATATGTTTAATTTTGTTTCTGAGTAGAGTGCTTTTTACTAACAAGTAACAGATATTGAAGTTTAAAAAAAAATCAAGGGGAATATATGGCAATACAAAGGAAATACTGGATTTGTAGTGAAGGGTGTTTAATGTACTATTTCATATTTTACATTGTGCCCTACAAGTTTGATTCCCCCCTACCTGCTGGTTTGGTATGTATTTGCAGATGCAGTTTAAATCTACCATCTTGTGTAAGCTAATGACCTCCAGTTATTCAGCCTTCTGGAGACTGAGTCGACCTCTGCAGGCATCTTCCTCTCTGTAGAGGGAGCTGGGGCTGGTATTTTCCCAAGTTGAGTAGTATTTTAGCTGTATAAAGTTAAATAGGATGAGTTTTGGTCTGTATGCCTTCACTGTGTTAGGAAGATAGCTACTGAAGGAATTGGAGAGTTCAGGTTGATAGAACTGTAATAGGTGTGACAAGTGGTGCATGTCTAGTTTAGTGGATTGGGCATGTTCAGAAAGGTCTCTTCTAGGGTTTGTTGGTAGTCTGATGGTACTGACCTCCAGTGGGGACTAAACAAAAAGCAACACAAGTGGAATAGACTGGGGAGGAGAGGAACCATCACTCAGTGAATCTGAAGTAGTTGCAGGAATGGAGAATAGGGAGAGAGAAATACAGGTGGTACCATTTCTTTGTACTAGATCTTCAATCTCAGCTTGCTCTCCGCAGATGAGGATAAAGAACGAAGAGCCCCTCACATGCTGCTTTCAATGAGAGATGGCTAAGAATAGCAGTATCCATAGCTCTGTTTGAGTGGAGCTTCAGAAATTAATTCTACAGTATGTGTTTTTCATAGTGGATACCAGCTCAAGGCAGAGACCTCAAACTCTGCTTGGGTAGAGGCAGAGGGCAGTAGTATATCCCTGGATCATTCGGAGGTTAATGCCATACTCACAGACCATAAACCACCATGACCAGAGTGTATGCTCCCGAGAGATGTAGCTACTGCAGAAAGCTGCTCAGAAGCCTTTCCTTGTGCTTTTCTTGCATCTTTCACTTCCCTACTAATGCTCAAGAGGTCCAAACTGAACAACTGAGTAACACCTTGATGCTTAAGTGACATGCATTGACTGAGATAGATAAATCGGAGTGACCTGGATTGCTTAAGGAGCGTGTGGGTTGGAAGGAAGAGCTTTAATTTCTGTGCATAGCAAATTTCAAAAGAATTTATATATGCCGACTTTCAGTTTTTCTAAGAGCTGACCTTTAAGTAGAAAGTGATATGCAATGTTAATCAGTGCAGAGCTAGCTCCTCTCGCTACATAATGTTTGCAGATTTTAGAAACTAAAGTGCTTGAGCTTTGTGTAGGACTAATTTGACTTTTATTGGGTTACACATGAATTGTACGTGTCATTATCACTCTGTTTAATGCAAAGAAATACACTGCTGTGGCCAGCCAGAAAACAAATAGCAAAGAGGAACTTAATTTGACAGTTTATATCCAGAATTTGTGACCTGAGGGAATTCTACAAAGTTTAAATTTTGTAGTAATTAAAAATTACCTGGGGAGCAATAAATTAAAGCCTCTACTGTAAATTAAGATACAGGTACGGACAGCTAATGGAAATTGATTAAAGTATTTATCTTAATTTAGAAGGTATTTTATCTGTTGCTCTAAGTTGTTTTTAGTTGCTACTTAAAATGTCTATGTATTCCACATCCCTTTCTCTCACCCTGAAACTTTTTTCCAAGCAGTTGAAAAATTTTAAATAAAAAAGCTCAGTCCCTTGTGGTTTGAACAGAGCTTAAAACAAGTCTGTTACCGAGCGGGTTTTGTTATTTTGCTGTAAGGACGGACTGTCATGGAGGAGTTAACTTTTTAGTAGAATGCCTTGAATTGTTGGAATTTAAACAAGCTCACCTTTTCTACAAACAAACAAACTCCCGAATTTCTCAATTTCAGTTGCCTTTCATGGCTGTAGAAAATAACAGCTTGACAAGCAATATCCTGAAATTGAATTGCCCTTTAAATTTAATTTGCTCAGGCTCCCCTTTTAGACAGCCTGCTGTCTAAACGCAGCATTGGCAGATGCTACACTCAGCGTTCACTGAATATTGTTCGCCTCTTTGTTTTTTGGGCTCAGGATCCTCCAGGGCTCCTGCTCTTGATCTAGGGTGTGTTGTAAATAGTGCACCTGCACAGCATAGCAAGTAGAGCAAGATGTATTTTAAAAAATTAAATGCGGTGGAGACAAAATATCGCTAACACTTGTTGCAGTAGCAGATTTCTTCAGCCTTTTCCTGTGTACCCAAACAGGTAAGTGCACCCTTATCTGCTTACTATGGGATCCCCACCTGACCTGGTCAGGAGGGCAGGAGAAGGGACATATGAATCTTGTGAGCGTGAATGCCCATGGTTTTGGTTTTTCTACCTGCCTCCTGTGTTGGGATTCAGATTGTGTTAGTCTGTATGGGATAGCTACTGGGTTTAAATGTCATGGGGAAGGCTGCCTACAGTCCTTGGTGTCTGTGTTCAAGAGCAGCATTGTACTGGAAGAGTTGCAGAAAAGTGCTTTCAGGATGATAGGAGAATAGTCACCCTCTCCTAAGAGAAACTTCAGTGCTTGGCTTATTTAACTTGTTGGAAGAGTACTGAGAAAGGGTCGGGTTGCCCTCTGTAGATTTTGTTGTTATTTGCAAAGGTGCAAAAAGAATTTAAGTTAAATGATAGTGTTGGCAAAATTTTCTATTAATAAATCTAGGCTGGAAATGAGGAGACATCTGAAAAGAATAGTGAGAGGTATTCAGTCCCAGTTAGTGTTAATACAAACTTTTGAACATCATTAGATGATGTTACTGCCTGCAGTACTACAGTAGGCAAGTAATCAGACTGCGATCCAGTCAATCTCTGCCAGTAGTGTGTTGATACATGAGTAAAAAATACTTTCCTTCTCTTTTGTTCATCTTCAGCTTGTGACAAGAAGTTCTGCTCAAAGACCAAGTTGCATTTGTTGCGTTTCTTTTCCCTGTGCTAATTAAATTGGCATTTCATTGTATGTATATGAATATATTCAGTTTTCTACGAAAAAGCACAAACTGCAATTTTTGTCTTAACACAGAAGTTTTATGTGACTTTAGGACTGTCTGTTTTCTTTCTGTAAAACACAGTCAACACTAACTCCTTTTTCTCTCTTCTTTCTTTGTATTGTAAGCTTTTTTTTTGAGGCAGAAACTCTTTCTTGTGTTGAGCTTTTGTAGTGCTTAGTGCAGTAGGCTTCAAATTCTGTTTAAATGTCCAAGATATTACTCTAATGAGAATAACTATTTCTTTTGAATTGAAAGCTAATAAATCTTGTGGGTGGGGTATTTTTTGTGGGTTGTTTGGGTTTTTTTTTTTTTAGTTGAACGTCATGTTTCCTGATGTCCTTGTTTTCCATTCACTTCAAGTATTAATCATTGCTCCCCCATCTTTATGTTCCTATCTTTGTCAGGGACTCCCTTGTTACCCTTCTTAGAGTGCCTATCTTTTTAGAAATCCGTCATGTTTATGCAGTAGGAACATCAAGTATCTGAAATGGTAGCTGTTGGTAGGTTATCCAGCTGCCTTTTCCGATTTGCTGCTAAACACTCAAAGTTCAAAGGCTTCTTTTGAAGCCATTTATAGGAGATGTTTGGATGAATGAAAGCTGTATATTTAACTGGCTGGTAAATGTAGCAATACTAACAACAATAAGAAAAAGTCTTTTACCTTTTATTGTAGTCTAGAGTTCCACCTACGAACGATTTCAAAGTTGGTATGAAACTGGAAGCCCATGATCCTCGCAACGTTACCTCAGTTTGTATAGCTACAGTAATTGGAATCACTGGTGCCAGGCTAAGGTTGCGGCTGGATGGAAGTGACAACAAAAATGATTTTTGGAGGCTTGTGGATTCCACGGACATACAGCCCATTGGGACCTGCGAAAAGAAAGGAGGCATGCTCCAGCCTCCGCTTGGTAAGAAACAAAGCTTCTGAACTAACATGTGTGGAGTATTGCTTTCATGAAGTCAATTTTACCTTTTTGTCTTTGCAAATTCAATGGTACTAACACTTCACCAAACCATTATTTAATTGAAAAAGAGGTAAGCAAACTAATTCAGGCTAAGTGAATTGTGGCTTTTCTTCTTTTTGGATTCTTTTGACATAAGAATGAGCAGAATAGAGTTCTGGTTTTTTTGTGTGGGTTTTTTTTTTTTAAATAGTCCCTTAATGGGAGTGTCTGACAGCTTTCTTAATGATGAGATACACTGTCATGTCCCCATTCTATAAATGTTGCCTCATACACACCCTGTCTTACGAGTGTGTATGGGTGCAATGTTTTCTTGCTTGATGCTATGCGTGCTCCTTTTACTAGACCTTGGTAAGAACTGGGGAAAGCTGACTTGCCTTTTTCCTCTTCAGTACATCAGAGCAGCCCACCAGAAGGCGCTCGCTGTTAACCGACCTGTGAAGCGCTCAGCAGGGCTGCAGGAGGTGCATCAGTTCAGGACAGTCTGAATGTTTTCTCGGGCACTGAGCAAATTGGTTGTGGTCTGGGAAAGGCAGCATAGGGTGGGTTAATAGTGGTATTGCAGCATTCTGCTCTGAGGTAGGAAAAACAGCACTCCAGAGCTTTAGCAAACTACAAGCTTATATTGCATGTGATTCTCATCTCCTCGAATCGACACGTCGGGGGACATCTGATCAGTTTGTCAAGACTGGTTTGTGAGCACGATGAACAGTCATGAACAAGGTGTAGCTTTCCTATGCTTAGAAATAGTATGCAGAATTTCTTTTGTCTTTCATGAGCAATACGGGTGACAATATTATGTATCTCCCCAAACTGAAAAATAGTGCTTGGGCTTAGTCTTATTGAGGAAGTTTATTAAATTGGGGACTGTACAAAGGAATTCCTTGCTATGTGATGTCAGAGGTAACTTTGACTCACTACTAGGGGTAATAAAGTGTGATATCACCTTTCTTTGCTGTGATAACCTGTATATTTAGGTCTGCATTCTGGTACCATATTTGTTATAGCTTAAACTTCTAGGTGTGGAAATCTTTAAAGAAATGCATTTTTTGCATTGTTCTGAAAACAGTTCTGCTTTTAAAAAGGAGGAAAAATAATGACCAAAACTTATCTTAATGCCCTCCCAAGCCCCCCACAACAGCAACATCCCCTCCCCTATTATCCTGTTATCTTCTGTAATTTTTAGAAGATGCAAGAAGTAACATTCTTAATATAAGAAATGAACTGTAAGCAGAAATTGGTTACTGTTTGTTTCCCATCTTACAGTTATGAACCTACTTCTAGTTTAGTGTCATCAGTAACTCTTACCGATTTTGCATCAGAGGTTTAGTGAAGATAGGTATGATTTCTCTCAGTAGCCTCTCAAAAAAACTTGTCATCCCAATTTGTTAACAACTTTCAGTTCTTCTGTTTGAAAGATGAAGTGAAAAGTATCACTTCACTACAGTATGAAACTTGATTTGCTTGTAGAGAGGCAAACAGACACAGGAGCAGTTGATAAAACCATTAAGACACTTCATATAGATTATAGGGGTAGATTTTTGTGCTGTTGTGCTGCTTGGGAGCACAAGAAAAGCAATGCAACCAGTGTGCTAGTCTAGAAAAATATTATTTGGGCCCAGGAGGGCTTTCTTCCTTCTTTCCTGTGGGTATATAGAGGTTTTGAATGAAAGCACTGAAAATTCTTGACACCTGGGGGAAAAGACACTTTTTTTTTTTTTTTTTTTTTTTTTTTTTTGAGAGAGAGAGAAGTTACCCAGTTGACCCTCTCTGAAGTTCTTGGTATAACCTTGTAGAATGAATGCAGTGATACCAGTATGAAAGAGGGTTGCAACAGAGAAGAGTATACCTATTCCTTCAGCTACACATCTGTACAGTGTTAAATATATGGCTTCAGTTCAGGAGCATAATGCTTTTTAAAATGTGTTTCTAAACCAGTCCGATGAATAAAACAATTCTGGTTATGTATAATAGGGGCAGTTGATCGTTAAGAAGAGAAACTTTCCACAATCGTCAGTAGAAAGGTTGATGACTTCTCTTCGGATACTGGTTTTTACCCCTGTTCGGTCAGGCTGCTTGTAGTGCAGCACCTAACAAGCAGCTGTTTCCCTGCACCCAGGCGTGTAAGTTTACCTGCCCTCCAAACAATTGCTGGTTATTCAGAAAAGAATGCAAGTGCCATTATTTTGTCCCTCCTGCCCTAGATTTTTCTAGAGATAAGCTAAATTCCAGCAATCAAACATTCTGGCATACCTAGATAAATTTTTGAAAAAGCCTTTTTGGCAGTTTTACAGCATCCTGTTCCTGGGCAAAGCTGGGAGCTAATTGGGTGTATAATTACCTCCTGTTAGACATTTAAGCAACTGATTTTTTTTTTTTGTCCTGAGTAGTAGGGAACCTTCTAGGTACTAATGTTCTGCTTCTATCGTAATAACTAGCTAAAATAGACCCTCCTACCTGATTTTTACATAAGTTTAATTGTGCATGTTACATAAGGGTTTTGAGAAAGTGATTAATGTAGCAAAGGGTTCCCGTTCCTCTGTTTTTCTTAGGTGAGCTTTTTTATTGTTGAGAGCTTAAAGTTCTCAACAAATTATGTTGAGGATAACATTTTTTCTGATTTTACCAGCACGACTTAAAGGCCAAATGAAGTTAAATGAAACTGTTGTCTAGTTGTCATTCCTCTGTCTTGCGTATATATCTTTTCTGGGCTAGCTGGTTAGGAATATTGTGTTTCAGTAACCACGTGTTTAGGTTGTATAAAGACTCCGGTATCACACCAGGACTGATAATCAGCTCAGCAGTCCTCAAATTATGACACCATTTATCAAATGTGAGCTTTGTATTCACTTAAGTGTGGCACAGGTAATTCAGACTTGAAAACTGTTTATTCAACTGAAAATAGCTTAAAGCTACTAGTTAAAGAGCTATTATAGCATATAATCCAATTTTAGATGACTTAATGATTTAACTGATCAAGAATTGCAGATATGTTCCACCTGTCTAGTTGTATTTTTTTAAGAGAATTGTCGAGGCTGAGTTATGAGGGAACTCATCAGTTCCTGGCAGATTCTGGTACTTTTTGCTTTGTGGAAAAATTTCCAATTTGCTCTATTATGTCTGTTTTTCTGTAGAACTGTGCCAGACATATAACTGCTAAAGACGCAGAAAAAATGTCCACTATGTCTGTTATCTTACTCATTACTTTGAAACATCCATTTGGAAAGCACAGAAAGCAAAAGGATTTTTTTTTTGTTTTGTTTTATTTTTTTAACTGGAAAGTAGTTGATTCTGAGGGAAGATTATCTGGAATGAGAATGTTTTCAGCCAAACCTTTGTTCTGCTTGAATAAAGTAGTTCATCTAAACAAATTTTATTATTGTTTGTGCTTTTTATTCACTTGTTAATGAAGAATATTAAAGTAGAAACATCTTCCAGTTTGTTTTCCAATATGATACATGCTTTTGTTAAAATAATTGTATTTTTGTTCTTCCCTGTCACGTGTTCTTTGGTTTTTAAGGCTATTTATTTATTTATTTATTTTAACGGAGGAGAGAGAAGAAACTGATTGTTCTTTTTTTGTTTGTGGTCTTGTGAAAGAATTACAAGAGTCTCAAAAATAAAAAGGTATCTCCTCAATAAATGAGAGAAGCTGGAGCGGAGGATGTTGTCTTAGAATGAGAGCAAAAAGCAGACCGGAAAAGTAAGCTGGGCTCTTGTGCTGGGGAAGTTCCATTGGACTAGGGACTCTGTGGGACAACCTTATGATCTCCTGTACTAGAACTTCGATGTCGTTAAGTCCTACATGTTTATTTGTAGTATCACAAATTGCAATGAGTGATTCTTCAGGCAAGTCACTCGGAGTGGAAATGCATTGCATGGCTTTCTGCACTGACAGCGACCGTGTTTGTTCCTTCTTGGCTACTTTTATTTTGGCCAGGTCCAAAATAGAGGGAATGAGGCATTAGTAAAACAGACTTTATATCCTCCTCCTCCTATTTTATTTTATAAACGGAAAGTAGGGCTATTTGTTTGTTTGTTACTCAGGGTTCCAGATGAATGCATCGTCTTGGCCAATGTTTCTCTTAAGAACTCTCAATGGAGCTGAAATGGCACCCGCAGCATTCTTTAAAAAGGTAAGAAGAAAGGGACTGCTAGTAAACAACTTTCTATCAATTGGTCCATGGTTACGCTTTTTAATGAAGATGCCAAGATATTACTCTGTTGTCTGTAGCACAGGAAGGCAAGACTATTATTTACAATGACTTTGAACTGGATTGGCAAGCTACAAAGCTAGACAGGAAGCCATCTGCTTCTAGTCTGTTGAGGTGGGCATCTCTTTTCCTGAGTTGAGACTTTAAAGTGTAGTGTGTTATTTAGAAAAATTGTGTTAGCTCATTTTTTGTGTCTCGTGGATTTACGATACAATGCATATCACATTTCTTAACAGCACCATATTCATTTGATTGTGCACAGGAGTAAAGAAAAATTTTAATGTGGAATAAGAGTCATTGGAATACAGTAGTGCTTGGGAAGGTTTTGTTAAACATTTTGATTGGGCACATACTCATCATTTAAAATGTAGTGAGAAAGTAGTTGAAAATAGCAGAAAAAGCTGTTCAGTTTTTAAAATATGACTCTTGAGTAAGTTACTGTGAAACATGAAAAATCATATAAAAACAACAGTAATATTAAAATGACTTGGTTCAATTTTTTGTCAAGGTAGTAAAACCCTGCTGTCATATTGAGTGACTTAATTTTTGATATTGAGAGTGACATTGACAAGAATGTCAGCAAATCAAACAGTTGGGTTCAGACCTGCAATCACATTGCTTGTGTGTTAACTTTATAGAATTATGTAATTTTTTTAATATAAGATAATATAAATTTTCTGAGGTGTGATAAGCCACGCTTCCCTGTGCTAGCCTACCAGCACATCTGAGATGGCTTTTGGATAATGAGGTTCCTGAGGCTGAGGTGGTAATTCATGTTCCATCGGGTCACAACTCCTGCTGGGGGGGGTACACTTGTGCTGGTCACATTGACTTGATTTTTGTTTTTCTTTTGTCCACTTGGAATTGGTCTAAGGCCAACTGAGTTAACAGAGGCCTATAAATAATGTCCAATGCTAATGAATTTTTCATGGATTAATTGGGAGGTGAAGCTTTTACCAGACAGTTATCAGTCCCCAGAAATATCCATTCCCTGCAAACCTCCTCTTCTTTACTAGCATGTAATAATTTCATTTTAGTGTCTTTGCTGTCTTGCTGCCCAGACATAATGTATTGGGTGTAACCTATTGCTTATGTAAATACTTTTAGCAGGGTCTTTCTGTCATGGAGAATTTTGCTAATTATCCCAGATGTGTTTGTGGGAATAGAATCTAGATTTTTATAATACAGAAGAGCAAAAGCAAATTTGAAATATGAGTAAGTTTCCTTGAATGTCTACTATAACTTTTTGAGAGTAGTGAGTATAAGAAGTAAGGATGTTGAAGAAAAAAAGAGTTGGTTTTTTTTTGTGGTTTTTTTTTTTTTTTTAAGAGGCCATAGAAATACAAATGTTCTACCACTCTTACTTTTGTAGGAACCACCAAAACCTGTGCCAAACTGCTTTAAAGTTGGAATGAAACTTGAAGCTATAGATAGGAAGAACCCGTACTTAATTTGCCCAGCAACCATTGGAGATGTTAAAGGAGACGAAGTTTTTGTTACATTTGATGGCTGGAGAGGAGCATTTGACTATTGGTGCAGATGTGATTCTCGAGATATTTTCCCAGTCGGGTGGTGTAGCTTGACAGGAGATGCATTACAACCACCAGGGAACAATGGTAAGATGACTAATAATATTGCTTAATTATTTTTCCCCTCAGTTACAGCAGAATTTTAAAAACCAGCTGGCTGTATGCAGATAAGACTGAAGATTTGATTTGTGAGTAGCTGAGGAGGATGAAATGTTGTTAAATTTTCTTTATGTGGTTTAAAGCTAGTAGGATAGTTTCTGGGAAACAATTTTTGTTTGTTCATAGTAACTCTGGAAACATGTTTTATTTAATACTGTTAGGAGGGCTTTTGATAATCTTTAATTTTTGTGTGCTTGTGAAGAATCTTGGACTTAAACTAGATTTGTATTATATTTAGTTAAATGCTCCTGTTTAATGATACTAATATATTGGCTGCAGCAGCACTTTATATTAAGCTAACTGCTAAGAAAGTAAAGTAGTCTTTGTTTCTGTGATGATTGAAGGTTTAAACTATATATTTAGTGTTTCTTCCTTCATATTCACAAAATTCTGTCTTGAAGCTGCCTATTCTGAATGCTTTACCATCCTCATGCCTTTAAGGATGTTTGTACGTAGGGTTATAGAGTCCCTTTAACTAATGACCACTGTGCTTTATAATGTACAGCTATCTACCTTACCTAGAAAAGAAGGGCAATGAAGTAAAGAGGGATATCCCTGAATGTAATCTCTCTGCTACTCTGGGAACCTCTTGTCAGGATTCTGTAGCGTAAGGCTTTTCTGTCGAACTGTTTGGGCTCTTCTATCCTCAATCCCTTCAAATTTGACAGGAAGAGAGGTTTTTGAAGAGGGGAACCATATTTTAATTAATTACTTTAATATTGTTGACCAGAATAATTTGTTCTCATAGTGAACATTTCCACCGCTGGCATTAAGTAAGGAACAAGTAGACCGGTATCGCAGAACTCTCACTGGAAGTACCAAAGGATCAGAAGCAAGAAGGCAAGAAATCAGTCATGTTTCCTGCCCTCTCCATCCCCATTGTTTTTCTCAATCTTTTGCCAGCAGGCCAAGAATTGTATGGAGAATGTGAAATTAGTTAAAGGTACCTCTGCATCCTTGTCCTCACCTACCTGTCTGTAGTTACTGTCTGCAGTTACTGCCAATGGCCATAGGACCTGTAATCTAGTTTAGTCCATTTTGGCAGATTTCAGCAAGGGAGCAACTGTGTTTGTAGCTGTACTGGCAGATCCGGGATCATCTGCCAGTACAAACCTGCAGCGAGAAGGCAGGGGGGAGTCAGGTGAGGACAATCTACATTTGATCAGAAGTCATCCAATAGGTACCAAGCTGACCTCAGTCTTAATGTTTCTGTGCTCCCAATCTGTAAAGTGTCCTTCTCAACCTTTTCAGAAGGTTGACCTTGTCTTGAGAAATCATGAATGAGATGTGTTATTATGGTAAATGCATTACGTTAATTGTGGTGAAATAAAATGGCTTTATACAAAAGGGGCTGTGTAAATAAGCGGCGTAAAATTTTTAGAAGATATTTTTGTGACAGTTTAGATTGCTGAGTCCAATTCCATCTCCTAGAAAGAAGTATTACTAAATTGTTTAGCCTACTCCAGTTTCACTGCTGGAAAACCAGCAATATTTTGAGATAATATGTACAGAATTTTTCTTGCCTGATTAGAGCTTGATAGAGATCAAAGAGTTGTTTAACAATTAGTTAGTAAAGTTGATTACGTATTCCAGTTGTTCAAGTAATTAAACCACGACAAAAAAAGCTAAACCGTGATAAAACCAAACAAAATTCTTGAGTATGTTCAAATTTGCTGAAGACTTGAAATACCTACCCAGGTATTTTTATGGATTCTATTGCTTTGTTATGAAAAACGGTAACACTTTAGGCATTAATAAAATCTGAAGCAAGGTTCTTACAGACTTGTAGTCTAAACTGAGAATTTTGGACATGTGATAAAAACTGAAGGCGGAGACGTGCAGGCTGGGGATTTCATTATTTTTAATTCTAAAAGTGAGCCCAAAGTTAACTGCAGTTTTATTAAAATTGTGTGGGCTCCTTTTTTTCCTGTTCTGAGCATAGAGAGTTTAGTTTTTAATTTTGCTTCATGTGCTTATTTTTTATGTGCTGTTTGTGCATGTTATATGTACTTGTCAAATTTACATAGCTAGATGAAATATTTTTTGCTCTCAGGTTATGTTTTTCACTGTTATTTGATCGCTTTTAAGCCATTAAAGAACTGTAATGATAGTCCTTTATTAAGATGTAAATAATAGCTTCAAGGAGAGTGTAATCAAGTCATTTCAATTCAGAAATATGATAATGTTGTCAGGATTCTTCATTAAGTCACATTAATGTTGACTACTCCTGTTAAGGAAGAAGGTATGACAGATAGTATATTGTAGGGATTCACTTGAAATATTATAGTAGTATTCTGGCCTGGACTTTTTTTTGCAGGTTAGTTTAGTATTTCTGCCTTGAATTACCACAATAGAAAGTGAAAATAATTGACTGAGTGTGGCTTAGATCCCAGAGTGAATATAATGAGAAGTATTCTTGATTTTTTGAACTACCTTTCCTGAAAGCATTTAAATGTGTTAATTCAGTAGTTAAAGGACTGAAAAAAAACCCTCAGATTTTAGTGAACAAGCAAAATCAATATCCTACAATCTAAGTATGAAAGCGATAAAGGATGCTTTAAATTGAATCCATACCTAGGACAACAATTTCCTGCCCTGAGACTTATATTTTAGGGTCTAATTTAGCCTTTTGAAAGAGAGATGAAATGCAGTAAGGGAGACAATATGAAAATTAGGGAAGATTTTATTTCACCTGTTTACTGATTTAGCCATTTAGGATGCCCAGAGAGAATGTAGGACCTCTGTCATGGGAGGTTTTTAAGAACAGGCTTCATAGATATGGGTGAATTTATTCAGACCAGATTATGTGGTATATTTAGTCTTTATAGCTGTACCTTCTGTAACTTGCATTGGTTTTAGACAGATAAGCTCAGGAACTAAGACACAATTAATAGAAGATAAAATGGAGAAGGTAGGTGAAAAGTTGTTTTGGACCAACTGTTTTTAGCATTCAGGCCTTAATCTTCGTGTTGATGTTTTGTCTTTGGTCCTTATCAGAAAATGTGAACTTAAGTGGACGTGGCTGGGTGTCAGGGTATGCTTACAGCGCTATGAAATGTAACGTTCAATATTTATACTAGCAGAAGCTGTGCTTAGCTGATACTGTAGTTTGTTTCCTTAGAAATATCTCTGATAGTAGTAATTTATGTTATGTGTGGTTTGACAACAGTGCTTGATGTTGGCTTGGCCTGCTGGCCCAAGGTTAGTATTTTAAGGATGCAGTAGATTGTTTTCTCTGTGTCTCTTGGTCACTTAAGTGCTTTTAGAGATGACTTGTCACTCAGTAACATCGTTGTGAACTATAGCTGGTGAAAGAAGTTCTCATGGTAATGTCTATGCTGGATCAATCTGAAGGACCATCTGCTCTAGCAGGCTTTCTCCAGCAGTGGCTGAAAGCAGATGTTTGAAGAAAAGCATGAGCACATGGGAGAGAGGTTTGCAGAAGTATTCCTAGTATCTGGCCATCTACAACCCAGCACCTCCCAAGCCCAGAATAATGCTTTTATGCTGAGTATCTCCTGGAGCTTGATCTATTTTGTTCAATTATATTTTGGAGCCATCTGAACTTTTAGCACCTACAACATCCTGTAGTAAGGAGTTCTGTACTTGAGTATATGTTCTGTGGAAAAGGAGTTACCCTTTTTATTGCTGGTAGTTTCATTTGTTGTCCTCATATTCTTGTACTGAAATAGCTTCTTGTACTTCCAGTACTTGTACAGGAAGAGACAGTAAATAGTCATTCCCCACTTGCCTTCTTCATATCCATCATGATTTTGTAGCTTCTAGCTTCCCTCAGCTATCTGTATTCCAAACTTGTAATATCCTGTTCTGTTTCATTTTTCATTGTTATGGGGTCAGTTTAATTCCTCTGATCACCCTTGTTCTTCCGTATTGTTTCCATTTCAGCTATGGCATTTTTGAGCCACTGGAACCAGAAGCGTACAAGGTATTTAAGACTTAGTGGCATAGTGGTGGTTTCTGTTTTGTTTTCTGTTCCTTCTATAATTATTCATTAATAGGTATTTGGGATTTTTGGGCTACTACCAAGCAATGAACTAATACTGTCATAGAAATATTTATTTTAATTCTAAGATGGTTTTTTTGTGTACATCAGCTAATAGCCCATCTTTGATCACAGAAGCTGGATTATTTTGAATTGCTTGACATTGAATTTCATCTGTTACTTCCTCTGAGCAATCAATCTCCTCTGAGCAACTGCTCAGCTTTACAAGATCTTTATTGACTCAAATAGTTGTTCAGCAGTTGTTGCCATCTCATGCTTTACCCTTGTCTTAGATCATATATGAATCGAATGGCACAAGCCCAAGCAGAGATCTCATCAGGATTTATCTAGAGTCCTCTCTCGACTGTGGAAACATGTCTGTTTATTCCTCGCCACTGTTTGGTATTTTCCAAGAAATACTTTAGAATGATCATGAGGATCTTCCCTCATATCCATTGCCAGCTAAGGATTTTTTTGAGAGACTGTGGTGTGAGATCTTGTGAAGTGCAAATCCACAGACTACATCAGTTGACTTTCCGTTGTCTGCTTGCTTATTGACTCCTTAAATTAATTATAGATTTGTGAGATGTGACTTTTCTCTACAAAAACTATGGTTGGTTCTCCCCCAACACATCGTATTTATCTTTGGATTCACTACCTCTGTTCTGTACAAGAGTTTTTAGCAACTTGGCCAGTACAAACATCAGGTGTCTTGTCCATACCTTGCTGGCTAGAGTGTTGGCATCACATTAACTACCTTTTTAAGTCTCTGAACTTGAGGCAGTTTTAAAGACAAACTTGCACAGCACCGTCAGTAGGTTGGACGTTTCATCTTTTCATTTCCTTAAAACTCCTAAGTGTTGTGTGTCCTGCCAACTCTCTACTGCTTGTTTTGTCTCCGTTTCCTGACCTCTACTACTGGTAC